CGTATAAAAAAATCTAACCAAATCACTTTATATGATTCTTATATTGTGCCAATCACACCTTGGTAGAATAAAGGCATATCAAACAGTGAAAATGATGATGTTGATGATGATGAACACAAAGAAAAAATAATTGGCATAAAAGATAAAGAAATATGAAATAAACTACCTCTGCTTTTTAATTAGTAAAATATGACATAAACTTATTCATGAATCGCTTCGCTCAACTTGGCACAACGTTCTTGCGAGAAAAAATAAAAATAAAAGCATGTATATAATAAGGCGCAGTCGAATAGCTGAATGGTAAATGGGCTAACTGCTCCACTTCTGTATTTTTATTTAGGAGTCAGGCGTCATTGTGACGCTACATACAAGTAAGCTGTAATATAACTCGGCGAGATCGCGCAAGACTTTACGACTGTATTGCCTTCAAATATTTCTTATATCTGGCAGAATTCCGTCTGGAGTAAGAATATAAATGGCGTCGTTAGTGGTTACAAGAACGCTTCAGTTGACTGATATAAAGCAGATTGTAATATAAGCAAAACTCCGAGGGATATAACTTCTCTGTGGATTTTCCTTAAAAGTTGTATTACACGTGATGTGATATATTAAATGGAAAAAAAAGAAAACAGTACTTAAGTAGATAACAATGAAAAAGATAACATGTAAAGTTTCTTGTTGAAAAAAAAAGATAACATGTGAAGTTTCTTCTGATGAGCCTGCATCATCATTTCCCTGAGATTCACATGTACAGGCACATATGTAAGCTAGCACTTGCTGTTTCCAGAATTTTAACAGCTCTTTAAGAAATTTAATAGCTGTAATAATTTCAGCGTGCTTGGACAGGCCGAGACGTAGCGGAACAATTACCGTGCCACAAGTGTAGTAATGAGGTCACACGCTCTCCGCGTGTGACGGAATTCACAAATTGGTATCAAGAATAATAATGAACGAATGTACGAAAGTGAAATAATCGTATTAAGAACTTAATGACCGGAACGCGGAACGCTGAATGCTCGCTTTGGCGCCCCATTACTCTGTTTGTTTAATGCAGCTTCAGAATGAACTGCAACATTCCATTTACATAATAATCTACTTCGTTTTGACTGCGAGTTACTTTAATGGTGAACGGTTTTTGTTATTCTCTCGCTCCGTTTACTATGGTATAAGAGCTTTTCATTAAATTCAGATGTATTCTATTATTATTTATTTAAAAATTTAACATTAAAATATTCAGCGCTTATTTAACTTACGCCTCGTAAGTTCAAAATCTTTTGCACATGAAGATACCACCCATCTTATCTTATCTTATCTTATATATAAAAATGGATTGCTGTTCGTTAGTCTCGCTAAAACTCGAGAACATCCGGACCGATTTGGCTAATTATGGTTTTGAAATATTTGTGTCAGTCCAGGGAAGGTTTAAGCGATGAGAAATTATGGAAAAATTGCATGAAAAATCGAAATAGCAACAATTTTATTTTCCCATACAAACTGTACCTGTCAACTGTCTGTGTAGTGTGTAACCCTGTCAAACACTTTATGTTTGCGTTCCGATTCATTGCAAAACAACGTTTGCCGAGTCAGCTAGTACTAGATAAAATTATTATAACATGATTTTAGGCAAACATTTTTGAAGTTGAACATCTTTTGGCGCGTTTGGAAGAAAATATGAGAGTAATATGTTTACAATGAGTGCAAGACACCGACAACCAAAAAGCGTCATGATGAAGTTGTATGCTAAGCGACGAACTTCGACGAACATCACGTCACGTATTACCATGTCACGGTAGTACCATACCAAACAATAAGAACTTTTGGAGATTTACCTACAATTCCAAATTGTTTAAGGAAACCTTTATCAAATGCATTTAATGTCTTTTTCATTAAAAAAAAGTACCGGCACGGAGGATAAAATTTATAGTATAACTTGTTACGTGCGTTCATATGTACACACATACTAATAACAAAGATCACGAAATTTTATACATATTTGACCTATAATAAGTTCAATGGGTATTAAGAAACAATGTTGTTTAAATTTAAAAGACAGGGAGTATAATGAATATTAACTGACGGACATAACTCACGACGAAGCTACACGATCCATGAATGAAACCTTAATTTAACACGCTTTTAATTAGCTTCACTTGTATCTATCTATCTATCAATGTAAGGAAATTTTTCATAGTTAATTTCACCCACCTCCAGGTGTCCGATTTGCTTGAAAACTTATACACTTATTCAATTCTGATGGTAATGCAATAGTTTCATAGTTTCAACCACTAATGTTTTAATAAAGATGACTTATGTCTATATAGTGCAGGGTTTAAAAATTGTTCCGCTTTACATTATTATAAATGACATGTTTAAGTGAATGTGGCAGATGATATACAACTTATGAGACGGAAAGAGATAGCAGTCTATAGAATTGCAATCTAATTATACCAACTTGAGTGCCTCAATATCAGTGCGCTAGGGTCATATCTACCTCGTATTTGTATATAACATCATTGCTTTCAACCTTGAATTCCGGTTAGGTTTCTGGTAGCTTCTTATAAAGTTCGAATTATTGCAAGAAATATGATAAAAGAGCACCCCACGCTTTGTACATATTTTTTTTTTCTAACTTAATTTTTACTTTATAGTTATCAAACAACAACAGCAATCAACTGATAATCCCCTTATAACACAATTTTTACAAACACATGTAGGACACACTGAGAATATGTTGAGATTATTTAATCTGTGTATATATAGTGCTAAAATACTAAAATAGAGGTTCCACAACTGTCATAAATCTCATCTCTTAGTGGGTGTATCTAAGAGTACCATATTTTAATGCCATACAGTTCAAAGTTAAATAAAGAACGATTCTTTTTTCCATTGGAAAATTTTGAAAAAAGTACCCAGTGTTCATGTTCCAATATTGTGGATTCATGAAAGACGGTTCTTTGGAAAAAAACTTCCTCTAGGCATAATTTTCAAACAGCTTTCAAAAGAAACGAAAACCTTTTTCAAGTGATACAGATCAAACAATAAAACGGGGCGCAGAAATTTTATAAGCATTCATTATGCTCTTTTTCTTTGAGATAAAATTTTGAATTGACTGCCATTTTCGAATGCTTTACTTCGGGCCTTTATAATGATTTAAATGAAACTCAATATCACTGAGCATTAATCAAAACCAATTACGTGGCAGTAAATTGGAGGTGTTTTATTAATGGGGATGAAATGAATTTATTGATTTGCTTCTTTTGAGTTAGTTGAGCTATCAACAGTAACTAACTTAACAGCGGCAGTTAATTTTCTTTTAACTATGCGTTAATTATCTTATCAAGAAGACTGAATTCTAGATACCGGTTAGGTTTTTTTTTATATTGTTGTTTCTCTTAAAAGCAAAGATGGTTTCACCATTTTTGTTTATTTAAAATTAAAAACAAATAACCTTTTTAATGCTTCCAGTCTGGTTTTACTTCTTTTTCAATTATTTTCTCCAGCATATAAGTTTTCTGAACGTCATTATATCTTTATTAAATTCATGCTATCACACCCACCTTAATTTTTTCACTCCTGCTTTCAACTAAGATTAAGTATTTTTTTTAAATATTTGTTAAACGTATTTAGATAGCATTGGTAAAATATGTTTAATACTCAATTGTTTGGGTAGCCTTGTGGTATTCTGCTAACTAGAATCACTATTAACAATTCTGCTAGTTAGATAAAAGTGAGATTGAAATCTTAATAACATTTAATAAAAATATGTTTAAAAAACTACAAATACTTGTATTATCTAAAAATTATTGTTATATATATAATTGAGGAAGAAAGATTCTCGAGTGGCAGCCTCGTATTGGCCATCGAAGTGTAGGACGACCCCCCACTAGATGGAGTGACGACCTGTGCAAGTGTACAGAAAGTCGATGGATGGAGGTGGTCCAGGATCGTGCTTCGTTGCAGTCTGAAATGACATCATTTCAGTGTGTTTAAGTCCGGTGATGAAGTAGATCTTGCCAAAATACTTTTTTTTCACTTTGTAAATATTACTAATACTCAAGAGTAGCAATAACAATACTAATAAATGAAAGATTTCTTTCTCGTTAACATAAAATAAGGGTCGTTTCTAATTCAGAGATTGTGCCAATAACTAAGAAGATAAAATATTATCACTACTTAATGTTCATGTAATATTTATTTTATTGCATGATATCACTTTGTACACAAATATCCAGACTCTTCATTAGAGGAATTCCCTTGAGCTTACACAAGCACGTAAATAAATTATACGGACTGAGGATTTTCAATATCGAGCCATGATTATAAACCTAACTGCGAATGCTTACATACTCGAGTTATTACACATTTACCTGTCAAAATTGTCCATTTCTAACATACATTAACATATTCTTTTAAGTCTTATGTTACTGATCTATGTCATTCTAGATCAATCACTCAATATTCAGACCATTGTCGTCACTTTAGGAGATAGAGATTTAAAAAAAGTATTACTATAAACTAAACTACGTTTACTAAGCAATGTTAAAGAAAAAAAAAAACGGCCAAGTGCGAGTCGGACTCGCGCACTATGGGTTCCGTACCATTATCTTAAAACTTAAATGCTTTTTATATTCTGTTTTTAGTACTTATTGTTATAGCTGCAACTGAAGTACATCGTCTGTAAAAATTTCAAGTGTCTAACTATCACGGTTCATGAGATACAGCCTGGTGACAGACGGACGGACAGACAGACAGCGGAGTAGTAGTAATAGGGTCCCGTTTTATCCTTTGGGTACGGAATCCTAAAAACGATGAATGATGACCAGTTACGTTTCACGGTAGTCACATAACATCAGGTGAACCGTCTGCTCGCTTGGCAACTTTTCACATAAAAAAAAAAACATCTACTTAGCGTTCGATACAAACACCCAACGGACTCGTATTCACGAAAAAAATACCTAAAGTTGATTTTGTCTGTACAGGTGCGGACATTCGCAACAAAAATGTCACTGGAGGGGCAACGATGCCTGTGCGTCGTTGTTCTACTCATACACACAGTGACCGGAGCTGGAGAAGGTGAGTAAACGAGCGATACAAGTAAATGTTTTCATTCTCAACCGACTTCGAAAAAGGAGGTTGTTCTCAATTCGACTTTTATGTTTGTTGTCTCAGGACTTTCGACAGAGTGTACCGATTTTGATGATACTTTTTTTATTTCTTCCCATGTGTTCAGTAATTTCATTGGTATTGGATCTTCGGCTCCGGAAAATCAATTATAAAATGAATACAGAGCGAGATATTTGAAGTCGGGTTTGTTTAATTAAAAAATGTACTTGTTAAAACTGGTTTTAAAAATTATTACGACCCGAATGGCTTAGTGGGTAGTGTCAGGTACACTACCCACTAAGCCATTGCCACTAAGCCTCCTGTGCCAGAGGGTGAGGGTTAGATCCCCACTATTGGAAAAATATTGTGTGATAAACATAGTGTTTTTCTAGTGACTGGGTGTTTATATATGTATGATATGTATTTATTTACAAAAGAAAAGTATGTTTAAGTATGTTTATCAGTTATCTAGTACCCATAGTACAAGTGTTGCTTAGTTTAGGACTGGAGAATGTTGTATAGAAATATGTCCTAAAATATTTATTATTATTATTATTACATTCGGTTTTTCTCTCGTGTGGTCCTGTATTGATTTCTTTGGTATTGTACGCTGAACTCTAGAGATACATAAGGGAAATTCTCAAAACTCAACGAGAAAGTGTATTTGATGTCCGTAAAAAAATTGTAAAAAATGGACGAAAAATTTTTTCGCCTGTGCGGGAATCAAACCCGCGTCTTCGAGTATCGGGCCCAGATGCTTTAAGCACTAAGCGGCTTATTGCCATACCGACGAAATTTTTTTATCTGAAATCGTTTTAGGGTACTGACGCTAAAGACATTGTCTGTCTGTCACCAGGCTGTATCTCTTGAACCGTGATAGTTAGACAGTTAAAATCTTCCCAGATGATGTACTCCAGTTGAAGCTTTAACAAGAAATAGTAAAAAACAGAACGTAAAAAACATTTAAGTTGGACTCCCATGATGATGGTACGGAATCCATAGTGCGCGAGTCTGACTTGCACTTGACTGGTGTTTTCTCTTCCACATTTTAGTAAAAAATAAACTGTTATACCTGTTATTTCTCGTACCATACTTGGAGTTATCATAATGAATGTTCATTTGTATTTATTAAACTATAATATGAGAGTTTAGCCAAATGAATAACAATATAGAAATGAATCGGAAAGACCCATTGCGAAGGAAAACCGAAACACCTTTAGGAAGTGAATGCTAGCGGGCAAATTTTGAGAATATTGAAATCGTATAATTTTTACCAAGGAAATCTGCTATTGTATTGACCAATACAAAACTAAACAATTCTTTAGTGTACTGATTAGATTAGATTAGATTTAATCTCAATATTTAAACACAGCCTACAAACATGTTATTTGCGCTGACCCATATCAATTTCCCAAATCGATTACAAAGTTTGTAAAATGTTTCTGTTCTGGAAATTTTAATTATTCGTTATTGTTTTACATTGATTAGCGTATAGTTTACTTCAAACTGGTAAGTTAGGTAAGAGTGAATTTTATACGCAAAATAATGGCGGATTTTCCTACTGTGAAGTTTCAATTTAATTTTTTTCTCGACTTATATAAACATTTTCTCTTATTGAATACTTCAGTAATTACGTTTCTCAACTATTTTTCTTTTAAATAAATAATTTTGATTGAGGTATATAATTAATAACCGAAAAATGGATTAGAGTCTGCCACGGTCTATGCGAGAACGTATATAATATTAATTGAATATTCTCTAATCGAATGATTTATAAAACAGTCTCCGTATTATCCAGAAGAATAGCGACTGCACGTAGCTAGGAAAAAGCTAGCAACATTGGTGATGATGATTTCCTTTCGACTCAAATGGCGTCTTCAATCCATACTAGCGTTACTACGTTTGTATTAATGCGACTCAGTATATGGGAGAAATGTAGCTGATTATATAGAAAATATTTATTTAATAGCTTCAGGCATTTTTTATTTATCTATTAAAGCACTTAACTTTACCAAGTCCTAAAATGCGATAAAGATTTTCAATAAATGTAACGTACATACAAAATTGTAATATGATCATCACGCTTTCCTCTTCCCTATTTAATGTCTACAGTATTTGTGAAATACTTTCTGTTAGAAGTATATACGAAGAGAGAAAGTGACCATTTTCTTCTTACATAAACATCGGACGAGCATTGTTCTAAGAAAAAGTTAGCAATTCCGTAATCAGGTCAACTGGCTTCCTAGCTAGATCATAGAGACAATGCTTATACAAGCGAACAATGCCTGTGCACCGAACACACCAAGCATAAGATATATAACGACGTCGCGACAGTAAAAACTGCCGAACGATAAAAGGTTCAAAGGTTCAGATTTATTATAATTCAAATTTAATAAAATATAAAATAAAGTTATTTCTTTTAGTGTTAACTATTAAGGATCTTATTCAGCTCTTATTTAGGTTAAGTTTGTAGTTTTTCTCAATTCTCCATAATATTTGATTACATAATATTATACTTGATTATCTTTATAACTCATTTGCACAGGTCGTCACTCCATCTAGTGTGAGGTCATCATACATTGCGATGGCCAATTCGAACTTGCCACTTATGAACCTCCTTTCCATCAGTTATCGGTTCAATGGCTATATGGCTAACCCATTGCCACTCCAGCTTTTTAATATTCTTAACTATATCGGCAACCCCTTTTAAACAGCGGGTTTATTTATTGCGAACTCTATTACAGAGAAATGCCAAGCATAGCTTGCTCCATTAGTCGCTGGGCGACTTTATTACGGCCAGCAATGAAGGGACACCAATATTAGTAGTCCTTATTACGTAGGTAATTACAAGCAATACAAATTGTTAAGACTTTAGTCTTCAAACGAGTTGAAATGATATGTCAAAGTTTTCTAAACGGGCAGTGTTTAAAAAACTTTGATATATACAACCGAGTTGGATTCGCTGATCAACCACTGGGTCGAAGTTGGGCCTAACCGGACTAACTATAACGTACTCGTCAACAAGTTCAAGCACAGTGCTCCCATAAACAACCGGTATACCGAAATAGATATCTGTTCTTCATCTTGTCCACGCTTGTTCTAAGGTCAACCAGTTGGGAGACACTGTTGAGGTTATTGAGCAAAGTATCAAGATCCTTTATCAAGTATCAAGTACCAAGAACGATTCTGCCATGATGACTGTCTACAGCAAATAGAAGGCGTGTGATGTATTAGCTATTAATGTCCCACGTCCTTTCCAGTCCATAATATTGAAAACATTGTCCAATGTAGCGGTAAAGTGTTTCGGCGATATGAAATCACCCTCCTACAGTTGGATAGGTTTTGTGCTACTGAAGCGAACTCGGATAAATACCATAGCATTATTGTACAAACAGCTCCTCAATACACCAACAGTCCATTTGGTATAAACATGAGTTAAGAGCCTCCAAAAAGTGTCTTCCAAACTTTGACAGAATCTAACGTTTCCCATAATCCATATACGACTGATTATACTATTCGGTCTTCAGTACAAACTGTTGTAAAGTAGGTGTGTGGGCTGTGCGACTATGCGACTCGGCTAGATCTGGAGGCTGGAAGGAAGTCGTTGAGTCTGGCTTATTTAGGATGACACTCTAAAAAGAATATAGAAGCGGCTCAGAAGGGATCGGCTTACATTTCTACCAGAGAGCGTCATCACTTTTTTCGAAGAATAGCACCACCACACTTCTGCTCTCCCTCCTGAAATTTCATTATCCTAAGAGACATAATTAAATTAGGTGTCCATGAGTAGTAATTAATGAATAAAGAGGCAACTGAAATCTACTTACTTAGCATAAATTTCATATAAAAAATATATCTGCTTATCGTGGTGACGAGTTTTGGAAGTGAGTTACTTATAAATTACCTTTCCTTTAAAGCATACAATGTACCTTTTACTCTAAACTGTGGTGGAAATTCATAATTAAAATTTTACTATTATTATTAATATATCGAACATTATATTACCATTATTACTTCATCAAATCTTAATAGAGATGCGCTGATTACGTTTATAATAATAATTATTAGTAAAATTTTTGAAGCAACAGCACACATAATGAAATTGCCTTTCGGGTCTTTTTTAATTACATTTATTTTAAAATGTATTTTTTTTTAAATAAATGAACAACCTGAGTAAGTTTTGTTAATTTAGGATGGATTAAAGAGGTTCATTCACTTATTCAACTCCTATTTCAATATAAACTAAATTAATATTCCGAAATTATTTTAATCATCAATTTTAACAATTAAGATTTAAGCTTAACGATATTATAATTTACAGGAAATTCATCATCTCCGGTCCCATCAACCTCGACATTGAAAGCAGAGCAAAATGAGCTTACGGTCACGTTCCCGCCACTAGACGAGTTCTACGGCAATGCTCCAGAAAAACACTTTGGGACCGAGAACAACACAATAGTTACATCGCAAACCGGATCCACGGCACTCCTGCCCTGTGTCATCAGGAATATCGGTGACGGTATAGTAAGTAATGACGGTATAACATTAATTTGTGTATTCATCAATACATATCTATATTTAAAATGTAATATAAGTCTTTTGTGTGTTACAATGCCAGTAACTTTTACATACATATTAGGTACCATAGTAATTACCATAACAAACAATTTGATGAAAGTTTTAAACACCATGTGCAATTGTAAGAAACGGTACGTTTTGTTTTTGAAGGCTTTGATTTTTTTCCTTTATTAGGTCCACAAAACTGAACACAACTTTTACATAAGTTTTATATAAGCTTCCATTTGTTCCAAACACGAAAGTGTATTCTTCTAGATGTAGACACAACATACATTTAAATCGAAGAGAAAAATGATAATAATACAATTTAACTTAATGACTAATATAAACAGAGATTAAATTAAAACGGAAAATACAAAAATAAAACTAATTTAAACAAAATAGCTTATATATTACTATAACCAGGGTTAAATAATACATTTATGCCAACTTTCTTGTTGAGGCCAGAGAATGTGCAAAAATATCCACGCTAAATCGAATTGCATTACTTTTGATTTGATAATGCGCACATGCGATAAATTGGGAAATGCTCTCCGTGAACGGTCTTACACAAAGGTAACCTAAATGTATTTCGAGTTTTAAGACGACTGCTAGAACGAGGTATGGAGAACTCAAGTTTTTCTAAAATATCTCATGAATATGTGTAATGGTCTAGCAATTTCTATAAGATTATTATGCCATTTGATGATTTTAAAAGAGATTCCTTTTTTCTCATCTTACATTACATCACTTTTATCCTAACGAAAAATATATTATTTTCTTATTAACGAAATATCCAAAAACTCGTCGATCCGTGCTATTGGACCGTCAAGTTACACCATCTGCACATCTATTGAAGCGTGTTCCTTTCCGTAACGAAAGAACAAGCCGGCGAAATGATACTGGAACGGTAACTTTCCACTGATGGAAAAGTTTCCCCTTATTTTTCTCATATAAGTAGCCTTACCGTAAGTTGGATATTTTAAAGCTTTCGCAAAGTTATTAGAAATGGAAACAAATTTTGATTTAAAAATGAGATCGTTCGGATTTTTTTTAAATTGAATCGTGGTTTGTCCGTGGGACAAAAACAGTTCGGTGGTCACTTTTTAACTTTTGCTTGGTAAATGGTCTCTGTTGTTGGTTTGTCATAAGTTCGTAGAGTCAAATTATTTTTATTGGATAGTATAATAATCATAAAAATGGTCGAATTGCCCCTTGATGGGATAGAGGTCTATACCATATGTTAAAATATGTAAGTTAAGTAAGCACTTAACTTTAAACATTAGTGATGTATATTGCTTTTAACTATGTGAAAAGTTGGCAAGCGAGCAGGTAGACGTTTCATTTAATGTTAAATGCCGCTCCACGAGGAATCTACAACGTATTATAGAACGGAAATCTAATAGTAATACGCTTCGCATAGAAAGAAGTAATTTCTGCCTAATCCATCCTAATGTTGAGGCATCTGGCTTTATTTAGGAGGCGCTCGTTTCTGATTAATGTAACGAGACGAAAACTTTCGCATCTGCCCTAATGAAATAAACAGAGTATTAAGTCATTTCTCGTACAATTCACAACAACATTGAAAGTGTTATGAGATAAAATTATGCTGTTATATCTGTATCTTTTTTTTATGTGAAAAGTTGCCAAGCGAGCAGACGGTTCACCTAATGTTGAGTGAATACCGCCGCCCGGACATCTACTACACCCGAGGGTTGCAGATACGATGACAACGTTTCGAAAAGTGGGCTCCGGCCACCTCACTCACCAGAGGAAACGTGAAAGTTTGATAATTATACTTACTTCCACTTTACGCCGGTCTTTTGTGAGGTCATGGTACTTACCGGACGAGCCTGCCCATCTCCTCCTCGTGCAACAGCCGAGTCTGCTGCATGGCCCTACCACCGTAGACCCAGAGACAGTTGTTCCGCATCTGAGTGTTTGTCCACGTGAAATTTATGTATGTCGACGTCCATGCAACACAGGATAGTTTACCCTAAAGAAAGGGCAATGTTAAAAAAAAGTAATGACAAAAATAGTTAAAGTATACGATGGTTATTTTTTTTAATGAAGGTAAAGAAATAGGTGCATAATACACAGCCCGAACCCGTGGGTTCTGGCTAGCCCACCGGTTCTGCGTCAGATGAAGCTTTAATAGTCACGGTACTGAAAGCACAAACATCAGTTAACACAAGATACAAGATACATAATACTTTTTTTTTTTTTTAAATCATAGTCTGACAAAACAAACATGTGTGTTCTGCAATGAAGATAGTTCATGTCTTCAAACAAATATATGTTCGAACAGCGCCAATATTTAAACTAATAAGATTAATTAAAATCAGTATCATTAATCTATACAAATAAATAAAATTAGAGTGTCTGTTTTTAATATTAAAATAGTCGCTTTATAAAAAATATTATAATTATTTAATTATAATTTATAAGTCGCTAAATGCATATGGATGTGTACACGGTACATATACCAAAGTAACATTTTTTTACAATTTTAGTCTGCCTGTGTGTCTGTTTGTTCCGGCTAATCTCTGAAACGGCTGGACCGATTTGGACGAGACTTTCACTGGCAGATAGCTGTTGTAATAAGGAGTAACTTACGTTACTTTTATTTTAGAATTTTTTTATTTTAAATTCCACGCGGACGAAGTCGCGGTCACAGCTAGTTACTGAATAAAAAAAGAATCTCAACTACATTAAAAATATTAATTCTTCCTCTATTTTTCATCGTGGCCACTATTTCGAAATAATGTACCGATAGATTTGTTACTAATACTTTGAAATCCTTAAACAGATTTCGGTGTTCCAAATAATTAAATTGCCTAAATACATGATGAATGAAATCGGGTAACAGAGAAGAAATCTTGGTTATTTTTAATGAAAAATAATGAATTTACTTCTAAGAATAATTTTACAAAATATAATACATGATATGACCCTACTCCCAGTTACACCCTTTAACCCCTACACACGGTTAAGCCCGAACATTGCTGTTTTTGAGCGTGTTACATTTATTCTGCGCTCTGTACGTATTTCTTCTACTAGATAAATTTCTTCGCAGGTATCTTGGATAAGAAGAAAAGACTACCACCTTCTTACTGTTGGCCTAACTACTTACAGTTCCGATCAGCGATTTCAAGCGATTCATTTACAACATTCAGAGGTACAGTAGTGGAGAAAATAACGCAATAAAAATGTTCTATTTTCTACTTACCTATCTCCAATCATTGGTTTTATTGTTACAATTGAGAATTTGGCAACTGAGTTGGCGGTTCGCCTGACAAAGCACGGCCCATGGACATTTGCAACTCCCGTAGGATTGCAGAAGTTTGCCATCTTTAAGTAAAGTGGGCCCCGACTACCTAACTCACTAGAAAAAACGCAGAAGCATACCACTTCTACTTCATGCCGATCATCATATTCCTTAATAGCCACTGAAGACTATTCAGATGCTAAATATTGATGTAGCCTTTGTGTCATTTCGGCCAAAGGTACCCTTTTTTAATTCAAAACTGGCCAGCAATTGACTGCCATGATAGTGATTTGATTAACAATCGCACTACATCTTTTTACATAATAAATGCTGAACGATACCTACTTTACAATTTTTCTAATAGCACGTTTTTTCCAGGATTGGACGTTGAAAGTGAAATTTGTACAGAAGCGTGATGCGGGCGTGTACGAATGTCAAGTATCGTCCCATCCACCAACTAGTATCTTTCTCCAACTGGACGTCGTTGGTACGGCTAATACGTTCCTTTGTAATTCCTTACTGTCAATGTTTATGATGACTCCGTGACGTAATTGCCAAGGTGTCGTGGCTTCGGAGTCGGGGTCGCGGGTTCGATTCCCACGCGGGACAACTATTTGTGTGACCGTTTCGCATCTGGGTATGTCCGCGTGAAATTTGTGTTTGTAAAACGTCCTAACAACACAGGTTCTTGTTATCTTAAAGTAAGGGCAATGTTTAAAAATAATAATTCAAGTTTCTTGTAGATACGAGAAACTTGAATTTTTATTTTTAAATTATTACTTTTCGATCAACGATTATTGTATACTGTTCGTACCAACAGTAAACAATATATTTCAAAATCAGTCATATAACATTACATATGCCATGATACTCTTATGCCATGTTATACTAATGAAAGATATGTACAACTTTATAAATATGGCACGTGCCTATAAAAATAGAAAAAAAAAATTAAAATTACCATCAACAAAGAAAAGAACACTTCTTGAGGTCTACACTTAAAGTTTAAGGTTGATAAATCCTCCACTTAAAACGAAATGGATTACTAACATTTAAATTTTAAAAGAAAAGGTGATATCATTATTTAAAATATTTAATTGCAAAATTTATCTGAAAAACAAGTTTAAAAAATATAAAAACACGATTTTGCATATAAACGAACGAAAAAGTACAAAATATTTTTCAATTAATTTAAATGAAGAATATGTGATTAAAAATTTTTATAGAATAGCGTGGGGTGCTTGGTGACAAATTTTATTATTTATTTATTTATTTCTAACTTTCTTTCAATCTGTATAATATTTTAATGTCAGTATATACAGTATACTGGTCAAATTAGGGTCATAATGGAAATATCTTTAAAAGCACAAATGGTGTTAAAAACTGATCATTTATTACTATAAAATTGCAACACCCGGGTTGCAGAAGCGTTGCCACCTTTAAATAAAGTGGGCCCGGCTACCTCACTCACCGGACGAAACGCAGAAGTGTAACACTTCTACTTTACGCCGGTCTCCTGTGAGGTCGTGATATTTATCCGGACGGACCTACCCATTGGTGCAACAGTGAAAACCATTGCGTAGTTCACTGTTAAAACTTTTCGTTAAAAGCCATTTTTCTACAAATTTTGAATTTTATTTTTATTGTTCAGTACGTTTGAAAGATGTAACACGTACTCGAACTATTTTTGTTGTCAATAATATGGAAGTAATAGCACTATCGAAAATACTGCAGAAAATAAAAAGAGTTCAGGCACGATAGGAAAATATACAAAAAAAGAACGAAAAATTTATGGTTGCTGAAAAATTTTAATCAACGTCTCTAATAAAAATATCTCCTGCGCTTTCGCAAAACAAAAGGTTCCGTTAACGCTGTCTAGAAGCCATTTAAAAATGGAAGAAAGCATAGAGAAGCAATTTATAAAATGAAAGCACTGTGAACTATTTCAGTTCATTGCGACAATCTGTGGAAATTATGCATTGTAAAACAGCTATATAATAAACATAAAAATAATAATACAATGCTTTAAGGCTGCATCGCTACTTACAACTGGCAACAGAAGTGTGATGCACTGCTGTGAAAATTTCAACTGTCTAAGTATCAGGGTTCATGAGATAAAGTCAGACAGAGGGCGGTCTTTGTAACAGGGTCCCGTTTTACCCTTTGGATACGGAACACTAAAAATGTGGCTTTTTTGGAAGTTCCGGACTTTCTTTCTTTTTTTTTTTATTAAACAGAAAGAACAAATTTCTGTATGTTGGTCAACTGACTGTAATATTTGCACATAATAATATTTGCTCATATTGATTAAAAACTTATTATATATCGGGACAAGTAATAATATGCCATAGGTTATAAAAATATAAATATTTGTACAGAGAATTAATCAAGTAATACAGGATGAGAGTCTCATAAAATCCTAAATAAACTATAGTGAAAAGTTATATGAATTCAAATGCTTGCCAATAGTAGAAATATTTGTGTTTAAAATAGCTAAATCCCAAATGCATTTCAAATGCAAACATGTTCAATAGAAAATACCTTATGATGATAGATTCTCATTCAAAAATACAGCAACAGTGAAGGGTTTAAAAGACAAATGTACGGTTCACTTCGAGTAACATTACTTATTTAACTATATTTATAGTTTTATAAAATTACATAAAAGTAAAGAAAGTAAAGTAACACCTACATAATATGTCCCAATGCTGTACAAAGGCCTCCTCTGAACAGAGGGTATTAGGCCATAGTTCACCACGACGGCCAAAATTCACATACTTTCGAAATATATATATATTTTTAATAATAGAAAGAATATATCCTAATTTTGTAACAAAAATAAAAATAAATAATAAAAATTACCTAATGTAATATATAAAATAAAATAATCAATCAACAATAAAAGAATCAATAAGAAGATGGGTAAATCAGGAAAATACATCTAGGCCCAAACGAACCACTACTGCAAGACAAGATACAATTAGCTCCCTCTGCATAGATCGGATAATTCAAAAACTGACGGTAGCCCGGGTTAATTATGACAATCAGACGTCTAACGCCTATCCCGTAACCATGAACGCTGTAAAGGATTCGAAACGTCGGGAATTAAAATTAAAAATGAACGCGATAAATCCGTAAAATTAGTTTCATTTATTATTTCAACGTATATAAAACATTCTAGCGACAGGTATGACTTTCTCCAGATTGAGTCAATATCATGAAAATGTTTTCCGTTACGAACATCTGATGCCCTCTTAATTCATCAGCGTAATAATCTTCACCCTTCAGTTGACAGCCTAAGATAAATCTCCTTCCGCAGAGGCCCGTGCCCAAATATCGGGGCCCAACGAGAGGCATGTCGAGCCGGGATCGACACTCCGTTTGCAGTGCTCCGTTGTTCACACTACGGAAGCACCGGCGTTTGTTTTCTGGTAAGAGTTTAGAGAGTTATAATATAAACCTTCACCTTGGTAGGGCCACGGTAAAAATAAAAAGTAAAGTATCAGCCTATACATGTCCCATTGCTGGGCAAAGGCACAGTGTATCAGAGCATAGTCCATCACGCAGCCCCACTGAGTATTGGCGGACTTCACATATCTTCGAAAAAAATATTTTTATTTTTATTTCGAAAAGATACAGGTTTCCTCACGATGGTTTTCTTCACCGTTGAGCACGTGATAATTCATCACTTAAAATGAACAATTTCATTGGTGCACCGGGTCAATGTTGATAACATTGATAGGTTTTAATTTTTTTATTTATTTCTAAAAAGATGGTTTAGTGAGGTTTCTCAATTCGACATTACCTATATATATTTTTGTGTGTGATATACGGATAACTTCGTCGTCTATGAACCGATTTTGATGATAATTTTTCTTTTTGTTGGAAAGAAGATAGCCCAATGGTGGTACCTGGATACGGAATCCCGGGTCTGATGATGGCATCTCAGAGAAACCGAGGGGAATTTTCAAAAATGATAGTGGCGACTAATTTGGCGTTTGTTTTATTTGTTCTATTTTTTTTTTTCATTAAGTATTTAAAAGCACAATTTAATGTAGGTCTGGAGTCGATATGATCCCGGAGCCGATAAACTGTCGAAAGAAGTCTTCAACGTTTTACAGCGCTTACCTAGTGTTTGATTGATTCATTTATATTGATGACAAAATTGCACCCATATGGGTTATAAGTTGCATTACACGTAGAATGATGGAGATCATAGACAGTCAAGAGAATTCCTTAACGTTTTACAGCAGTTACCTTTTGTTGGGCTTTCTTCATACGGTTCAATATGGCAAAATTTTCAGTTCGTACAAAATAATACGTAATTAAAATTTATGTTAAGACTAATCGAGCGACTGTTCACTTTTTCTTACGTGTGTGTATTAAAGAAAAACGAATGTCATGATCTTCTTGACTTTCGATACTTAATCTATTTGAAATACATCGTGTTTTACAATCGCGACAATAAATGAACACACATATAGAGGATAATTTTTTAAAATTGTATTAAAAAAATACTTTCTTTAAACATCAATATTTACAGAGTTATTAAATTTTCCAAAACAAAGAATTTTAGAACATCCTTACGTATAAAACTGTAACGCAAAGTTCATTTGTAAAGGTCACAAAGCATACGAATGGGTTGAATGAATAAAAGAGACAAAACATACTGTTAGAATGAGAGGCTTGTAATGCGACGCTGTGGCAACGAATGAAAAAGTCTCTGAATGTATAATCAGTCAGTTGTAGTTGTATAGAATGCTACAAGTTTTATTTCTTTTTTATTTAATTACTTTGTTTGTAAAATATTTTTTTAATTATGGATTTTTTTAACGTTAATATTTTTTTATGATTATTGGCAAGTAGTGTTAGACGTGTGTTCATTTATTGTCGCGATGGTAACGACACGCTGTGTATGCTCTCATGCCCGAATTCTATCCGCTCCTCTGGTTCCTCTGAGCAAAACAAGAATAATAACGAAGAACGATTGTTGCTTTTCTCCGCTCCCAGTGTCAGTTACAGACACCGGAAAAATATAAAATACTTATTTAATCATTTCTGATTAACTGAATCAAAAAACGAGTAACATTGTGCTAAGTAAATTAACCTCTTAGTTTCCTGCTTGAAGTCGTTTTTTTTTTGTAGGTCATATAAAACTAATTGGATGCAAAACATGGTAATAACACGAGGAAAGTTTTTTTTATGTTAAAAGTTGCCAAACGAGCAGACGGTTCACCTGATGTTAATTGAAAACCGCCGCCCATCGACATCTGCTACACTTGCAAATGCGTTGGCGAACTTTTGAAAATTGGGCTCCGGCTACCTCAGTCACCAGACGAAACGCGAAAGTATTTTTTATACTTCCACTTTACGCCGGTCTTCTGTGAGCTCGTGGCATTTACCCGGAAGGGCCTGCCCATTCGTGCAACAGCCAAGGCTATTGCGTGTCCCGCAATTATTTTGTTAAATTCTGTTACAGTGAATCATGGTCATCTGTTACAGTGAATCATGAATCGTGGTCGAAAGTCTTTTGTTATATTCTGTTACAGTGAATGTTAACAGTACCTTCATTATATTCAGGTATCACAACAGTCGGATGATCAACTACGATGTAGAGCGTGGCGTCAACGTCACTACAGACCCAGCGCAACGACTATCCGATCTTTATATACCAGTTGCTACTATATCACACGATGGCAATTATACCTGCGTGCCAAATAATGCCGTGCCAGCGAGTATATACGTCCATGTCGTCAACGGTAAGTCAACTATTAACTATCAGATTTCAGTTAAAGAATATCAATCTCATGAGTGTGATAAAATTATATGAAACCTATATTAATGATGTTTAGTATTAAATTATAATTATGTCAAGCAGCGTCCCTTATTTTTCTTCGATCAGAGAATTTGTGAAGTGAATAAATCTTAGATGAATCATATATGTTTTAAGTAAAAAAATAATTTCTTCGTTTGATAAAATAATTTGTGTAATATAATTGTTATAGCCTATTTTGCTTAATAACTGTGTAAAGTTTATTAAATTCAATATTTTAGGTCCATGAATCGCTGTGTTTTCTATATTCCCGAGATCGTTTATTTTTCTTATTCTAAATTTAGTGAAGTTAATTATTTAGTATTGATGCGTACAAGAGAGTGGTCAGCAAGAAAGCGGACTGAATATTTATCACGTCTCAGATTAATGATCAATTTTCTTGTCCAATGAATAGAATCTTTTTCTATCCGAAAACTCGAGCCAACACAAACCACTTTTGTTGATGAAACTGTCAAAACGTGCGGTGGTCCAAATTGAGAGCATTTTCATATTTATGAGGTGCCGATGCCACGTGGAGTTTTCGCCTTACTTAGGCCGGAATAAATTCAGCCAGACGAAAGAAAGTGTTCGCCACCCTTATAATAAAATTGTCACTTAGCGTAACGCTGGGTTTCTTTTCCCGGTATATTGCTGCGATATTATCGGCCCCTTATTATAAAAAATCTTGGGAAAATAAAACGATAGTTCCAGTTAACACAGATGAAATGTGAAACGTTTTATCGACTTTTATAAATATTCAGACATATATTTTCAATGTTATCATTACAAAGTATTCCTCGCCCTTGTATTTATAAATCCTCTCGACTTTGAAGTTAATGATCGTAACTATTATTTATACTTGTTAAGACGGTAAATATTGTTATATTTCTAGCGACTGAAAGTTGAACTTGAATTTATGCATGCATATTGTACATACGTTATATTAGTGTTAAAATTGGACAAGGAACCCTGTACATATGCAAACTATTTGTCAGTTTCATTACTGTGTGCCATCAAAGGTAAATATAGGCCACCAATTTTTAGTAGAATACCGCGACGGAATATGTTGAACATCTATATAGCTAACGTACAATTAAAACACTAATTGATTCTTTGCTTACAGGTGAAAACACCGCGGCGATGCAATCCTCATCGCCTAATTTCAACTCTGGTTTGACCTTCAAAGGAATGATATTCGTTACTATGGTAATGATAATTTTTTTTATACGGTGACAATTAAACTGAACGAACAAATGGAATATTTTACATGCAATCTATTGTCTAGTTACGATAACGTATTATATGAGGTGAATAGAAAATGTATTACAATTTGAAAAGTTAAATTACAAGGTAAGTGTAGAAGAAATAATGTGCTCTTAACGCATTGTTTATGTGACTCCGAGATATTGACCAATAAAATAAAAGATTAAAGGAGTAAAAAATGGGGTTTTAAGGTAACAAACGTCTCGTTAATTATTAATCATTCTTATATCATTAAATCACTCGGTAACCAAACAGGGGAAGAACATGTGAAAACAAGGATTTTTTACTCTACCCTGATAGCTTTTTTATAACATTGCTTATGCCGATTGTACCTAACCATTAACGAAAAAACTACCTTCAACTGCCCCCATCATAACTTCACTTGAATAAAAATGGGAACAACAGTAACAGTTAATTAATGCTAATAGTTTCATTTAAAAAAATGACCATGTGGTAAGAGCACATAATTTTTAATATACTTATCTGATGTTGAACTTTACCTCATATAAAACAAAAGTCTTATTAGTTTATTTAGCTCAATCTAATTGTCTATGAAATCTGAAATTTATTTCAAAGGTATTTAAAACATTAGTGTAATGTTTAGAATGTAAAAAAAACATTAATTTTAATGTAAATACTACTATATAAGGCATGTAAAAATTATTTTGTTAACATCTATCATTTACATGACGTTAAGTTTGACTTGCGTTAGACTTTGATCAAAATTATATTTAATACCCTACATTTTATAATATTTCTGCTATGTAAAGTGTTATGTGTTCCTTATTACTTGTAATAAGGAAATAAGGGGATATGAATGATTTTTACATATTTTATTAATTGGGATAGTGAATAACTTCGCAACTGTGTATTCTATAATTAAAACTAAAATTAAGAAATTTGTATTTGCGACGTCATAATTTAATATTGTTTGTATTTAAACAGTATTCTGTAATTATTAAAAAAATATATATATTACTTGGTAACATTACATTTAAAAATACTCTGTTTCTCATTATTTAAATAATGTTATGTAAATATAGTTAATATAATTGTGATATAAATAAGATCGTAATGTTTGTTAATATTTGTAAATATGTAACATGCTAAGGCAATTATTACAATGATTATAAATAATTGTTCATATTAATTGTCGTTTCATTTCTAATACTTTGATAAAAAATTGTTTCTCACTCTTTTTTTTATTAAAAACTGGGCAGCACTTGACTGCCATCCCACCTGGTAAATGGCGAGGCAGCCTTTTATGGTGAGCGCCCTATCTCAGTAAAAACCTATTCATTCTTGCCTTGAAGACGCCTACGTTGTAATCTGACGGAAAGGCGGACGTCAGCAGATTTTTCCATTCCTTAGCTGTACGGATGATAAACGACGAAGCGAATCGCTTTGTTCTTGTGCGTGTTTTACTCACATATCGATCCGATCCGATCGAGCCAAGATTCGATCCACTCGGGCACCCTTAAATCGGAATGCTAAACGGGTACTGAGTAATAGACCAAGCTGAGGTCCCCTCTCAGAGCCCTTGAGCCTAGTTTCTCCACGTAGCGACCGCCAAAGCGACCTCGGGTTTGGCAGCCGCTCTCTCTCTCTTTAATCTAAGAGCTAGGTTCTTCTCGGTGCAGCATCCCAGTAGTTCAGCCGTAAAACACCCTCCATCCTTGCCTTTTTATAGCCCTTTCCTTTACCTCTTTACCCTTGACAGCCTCTCAAACCGGTGAAAATAATAATAGTGTGATGGCCCGAGCCGAGGTTCCTTCGGGTGCTCTCGAGCTTAGTCACCCATAATCGTGGTACAGGCTAGGCGTCCTCAGCGCCCAGCCAACTCAAGCCCGGTGGATCTGGAACCACTGTTTTTCTCCTTAAAGCTAACAGTTTGTCATTATATAATATTACTGTATAATATAATGCAGACAACAATCGCACTATCTGAACAAGATAATTTCTTGTATTTACGCAACAAGTGTGGACAAATTTTGTCTAGAGTATAGCAATAACACGTCCAATGACTGTATGATTGATTTACTGAATTTCTTAGTTCGCTAATAACATAATAAGCGTAACCTTAAACGGATAAAAGTGATCTTTAGACTGAAGACTCCTCGGCACAAGGTATTTATTGGCTTCGGCGTCGGGGGTCGGGGGTTCGATTCCCACACGGGACTACTGTTTGTGTCACTCTACAGGTAGTTGTTTCGCATCTGGGTGCTTATCCGCGTGTAACAACAGAGATAATGTTATCCTAATGTAAGGGCAATGAAAAAAATAAATCAGACTTCCAGCCACTCAATTTCTGCAGGATGCATTTTGGACAGTGCATTTTGGAGTTGCTTGATTCCACCCACCCCTTTCCATCATCGGACAATAACAGACGTTCGGCGGGGCTCCGTTATTTCGCTGTCGACGTTCCACACACAAGAAGGGAGCGATTCGCTTCCACATTCATCATCCGTACAGCGAAGGAATGGAACAACCTGGAGGCGTCCGTCTTATCGTCCGATTATAATGTAGGCGTCTTCAAGGCAAGAGTGAACAGGCTTTTACTCAGTTAGCGCGCTTACCATCATCGACTATATCCGCACTTACGCATAACATCAGATAGCATAGCAGTCGAACGCTGGCCAGTTCCTAATAAACAAAGAACCTGCAAATTTATTTACCAAAGATGAGTATGTGCATCGTCAAAAGAAGTAAAGACTTCACTAGTACGGGAAGCGTAATTTGAAAAAGTAAATATATATTATGGTAGGGCCAGTGGTAAGACCACGCAGCAGCCTCGGATTTTGCACGAATAGGCAGTCTCGTCCGGGTAACTACCACGACCTCACAGAAAACCGGCGTGAAGAGGAAGTATAATACTTTCGCGTTTCGTCTGGTGAGCGAGGTAGCCGGAGCCCAATTTACAAAAAGGTTGTCAACGCATCTGCAACCCTCGGGTGTAGCAGATGTCTATTGGCGACGGTATTCAATTAACATCAGGTGAACCGCCTCCTCGTTTGTCAACTTGTCACATAAAATAAAAAAATCGTACTGCTGGACAAAAGCATCCTCTGTGCCGAAACTTCAGAAATCCTATATATAAAATACTAAACTGATAATTTTTTTATTCCAAAATTTTTATATATAACTTGTTTTTATAAAACAAAACCCAACAGACGTCGTTTGTACTTGTATTACACGTTGGGCAAGCATCCAATGAAGGCTCTTTTTGTTGATTGATTGAAATTGATTAAAAAATTCTTTATTGTACCAAAAGTTTGTACAAAGGCGAACTTAATGCTAAGCACCATTTTCTTCCAGTTAACCTTTGGTGGTTGAGAGCAAGTTACGGGTAGCAAAGCTAAATTGACATACAAGATTTTAAATGTCAATCACAAAGAATATGGGAAAACTAAATACCTACTTGACATAGGTGTCACGAATACATAATATACTTCAACATAAATGAAATAATTTACGTACACGTACGTGCATGTAGTCGTTATTATTATACATGCTGATTTATTATATACAATTTATATTTATCGTGTATATAACATACTGAAAGTTTAGGTCAAATAAGCCAAAACGAATAAAATTCAATATCCTTTAGTAAATTTTCCTTAGTTGGAATGGAGACCAAAAATTCAGGGCTTATACAGATTTACGTCGTACCGAAGGCGCTAGGGTTTTCTTTTTATTTCTAATGAAAACAGCTATATTTTATGACCGTTTGACCGAGGGCTTGCAGGAGAGGGCTTTAGATAATTAGATTCAGTTCAGAGTCCTTAATATTCTCAGACCACAAAGAAGGGTTATTTGCAGCATAAATAAACGAAAAAAGAAAATATATAAACGAATAGAAATTGTATTCAGAAACAATATAATGATGAGGTAAGTGAGGTAAGAAGATGAAGTAAGTGTAAGCATGTTTATTTTTGTCTGTATTTTAGCTTCATAGATTTACAATTAATTTTATGTGGAGACAGCTAATGAAATGAATAAATAAGAGTTGGTATTTGAGAAACTTACGGTATAGTTTTAAGTAAAAGATATTTGTCCAGTCAGAATTAATTCTCTTATTTAAAGAGACGTGTTGTTGAAATTAGTATTTTTCACTTATAATAATTCAACAGTTTATGGTGGGGATATTTATTTGATTTCTCGTCTGGTTGTGTTTAAATAAAATAAAAATAAACATATAGAAATATATTATTATTGTCTTTTATTGTCAATAGTTTTATTATTATTGTCTTTGATTTTTGTAACGGATTTCCTTATTATTCTTTATGGACACTTGGCAAATGAGCACTGGAATGAAATTTGTAACATTTTGACCTCTTCGCTACAGTTGTTTGTTTGCTTACGAGCGTATTGGTGAATATGCATAATACTTAGCGCTTAAGTATGATTTCCCAAACTAAGCAACGCTTGTACTTATGGGTATTAGATAACTGATAAACATACTTAAATATACTTTTCTTTTGTAAAAAAAATACATGTTATAAATATATAAACACCCAGATACCGGAAAATACTATGTTCATCACACAATATTTTTCCGGTAGTGGGGAACGTACCCACGCCCTCTGGCGCAAAAAGCAGGCTTACTATCCATTAGACTGTATTTGTCCCAGTGCTGGGTAAAGGCAGCTTCTGTAGGGAGGGATTAGGGCATAGTCCATCCTGCGACCCCACTGCGGATTGTCAGTCAGGCTTCACATGTTTTTTTGTTGTTATTCCTAAAATACCTAGGTTTCCTCACTATATTTCCTTCATTGCCGAGCAGGTGATGAATAAGCACTTAAAATTGTTATTAACACTTTCATTTGTGCCGCACCGAAAACTCAGGCTGCTCGATTGTATTGAATTAAAACGAGGACCCGGACACTGAGCTCTAACACTTACGGCTTTATGTGTTAGGGTAGGGGTTGCTTAGGGCAAGGTCACAGTCGCACCGGGGTTCGCGGAAGATTGTGTTTGCGTGTTCCCGTGTCCCCGGCAAAAGCGAAAGCGCAGGGTGCAACGTGGGTTTTTAGCGAGTACCCCGTAACTCCCACATACCCCTGCTGCCTACCCACAAGGCGGCGGGGGATCCATAAAGGACGGAAAAAAACAAAAGGGGTTGCTGAAACTACCCGTGGGCGTATAAATGGCCAGGTGCGCGACGACTAAGCGACCGTGGCGAGTGAGTCGATACACAGTGACTAAGTAGCCCGACTGAGGCGGGCATGGGAGGGGGTAGCAGAATTGAAATGGGCGCGTGCCGAGGC